ACCTGGCTGTTATTAAGAAGCAAGGGTTCAAGAGCTCCTTTATAGGATAATGGTTGTTTTGTCTTATCTACGTTAAAAGAGAGTAAATTAGAGTCAGACCAAGTTTTTATTTTAAGTAAATCAGAAGTTATAGTTGCATAAAGAGTTGCAATATTAGAGGTTCTCCAGGTGATTCTAGTATCACTAGCAAAATTTTTTCATCGGTTTTTAAATTAGTGATGTCATTTGTAAAGACAAGGAAAAGTAGAGGACCCAATACCGAACCATGTGGTACTTCACATACAATGCTTTTGTGACTAGAGTCAGTACCATTTACTCGAACTAGTTGTTTCTTATTCTCTAAGTAAGATTGAAAATAATTCAAAGAAATACACAAATTCAAGCATAATTCAAACTTACACAATTCAAAGCTTTAACATAGTCACAAAAAACAGCGGCAGTGTAAAGGTTATTTTTTAGTGTTGGTAAACTGTTAAAACCTAAATGACCTGACGACACCCCTGTCGTCTTTGGAACGGTGCAAGTATGGTTTGGCGATAGTTTGTCACGAAAGAGAAGATAACAAGTCCCGCGATGGTAAAACCAACCCTCCTATGACAAAAGCATTCTGTTTCAAGTTATCGATGTAACAACATGTAGTATATTAATTATATTTGTAATATATTTTATTTTCATTATTACAAACAATTAAGTTTTTTTATATTATAATGTTTACATAAAAGTATTAAATAGTTTCATCTATGGCCATGAGCCATATGGCCATGAATTTCATCTATGGCCATGAATATTTAGCAACAAGTAACTGGAAGATTTGAAAATTCCGTTTTCCATTAAACAGTTACAAAACAACCTTATGTAGCACGAAATCATATCATCATTAGTACATTTATTACAGTCTGTCTCAAACCCTTCTTTCAGTGCGTCACTAATTTTGACGTCATGTATGATTTTAAGAATGTCGAGAATTATTGAATGACATTTTAGTTGTTTGTGCAATTTGCTGTTTATACTATTGATAGTACGCTTTTTAGCTGTTTTGATAAGTTTTAGATAGGTTTCTCTGTACTTGGTAATATGTATAATATATTCAGTAACAGAGACGTTAAGAGTAAATTTATATTCTATTCATAAGTAAACGCATATTCTTGACTAATATGCGAATACCTTTGTTAGTCCAGAGTTTGTGATGTTTTAGCTTAATTGTAATTAAAGGAAATGTATTGAAAATACAGACAAGCCTATCTACCAAATCACTGAAATTTTAGTCCACGTTCACAGAAAGAAAGTCCTCCCCAGAAATCAAGCACAAATTTTGGAATTTATGAATGTTCTGAGCGGCTAAACGTCGCGCGTTGTGTTTGTTAAGAGTGTTAAACTTGGTATATGAGCGTGATCAGATATTCCTTCATTAATAATTGTAGAGAGTGCATCAAGGGGTGAGAAATCTAAAACAATATAACCAATTATGGTAGATGTGGTTTTAATAATTCTTGTAGGAGAATTAACGTGCATTGTGAGACCATACGATAAGAATATATTGACTAAGGACAGTTGGGTAGCACAAGTAGCAGCGTAAAGTCACCGCATAGATTTTTCTGCTTTATAGATTAAGATTCTTATTAAAAACTAAGGAAAACTCAAAGAAGGCTTCATTCAACAAAAATTCATAAATTCAAAGACCGGGAAAGGAAGATCATCTATGTTTAAAAAAGAGAGAGCAAAACAAGAGAGACAGATGTATAGTAACGTAAGATGGAGTTATTCTACAATTGTAAAAATATGGTTTATATACTATTTTACTGGCTTGATATTTGTTAAAAAGTATTTTTAAAGAAATTGTTTGGAAACATTAATTATTCAATTCATGTATGTATAATCATTATTTGTACAAACTTACTAACAACATAAAGAATAACGCCACACTCAGCTATTCCGAAGAAGGCTCCCCTTTCTTTTCGCTTCCATTCTTTGACCATGTCTTGTACCCAATCCGTGCCAAACCATTCAAGAAACAGAATCTCCACCCTCTGTGACGCAGCTCCCAACAGGGCTACATTGAAAATACACGATGTATTAGTACAAAGAAATACAAAATAAAATCAAATAGGTAATACGTATGAAAAAAATTAAAAAAAAATACATACTATATAAAAATATAAATAAGAAATACTGTATATATTAAAGTTACATTTACTTGTTCTTTTTTTGTTATATTGTATTACTATATTTTTAGACATTTCTAGAAATTCACATTCTATTTATTTTAAAAATCCCGTTTTCACTAGCTTTTATTCTTAAAAATACCTATTTTTCTCCGAAATGAACTTTTTCTTGTTTTTCTTTCTTTCCTCATTTTTTCTAATTTGTTTATTATATACTTACCCTTCTAACTCTTGTGATAATGTTTATCTTTGTCAGCCAATTTCATTTATTCTCTTAATCATTTTTTTTCTTTTTCTTCCATTTTTCTTCTACTTCTCTTACACTTCTTTTACGCGATTATGATTCTTCTTGGACTAGTTTTGATAATTTTTTTCATTTATAATCATTTTTTGTTCTCCCTGATGTTGATCTTTTTCCTCATGTTCTTATTCTACTAATAAGCTTGTCCTGATTGTCTACTTTTTTTATTTGTGTTTCTAGTACTTCCTTTTGTATCATTCTTGTTCATTTTTGGTAGAAAGCTTGTTAAAAATTCTAATTTTTCAGCGTCATATTATAAGGCTTTATTTTCACTTTAGGAAGAATAGATATTTGTTCTTCTTGGTTTATTCTATTAACATGAAAGATCTGTGATGTATTTTTATTCTAATGATCCAATTTTTGCTTTAAATTATATGCTTTTTTCCTTTTTATATCTCTATAAGACTTAATCACTGACAAAAGGCAAATCTTTAAAATGAAACATAAGCTAGCTTTCAATAGGTAGTGATCATAGAATGGTAAAAGCCTCTGCAGAAATAGACCTTGAAAAAGAAAGGTACCATATGCAAAAAAGGAAGTCTAAAATTACTTGGATAGAGCCCAATAATATAAATGTAGTTAAAGAACATATCAACAACATTTTCGAAAGCAATAAGAATACAGACTTAAATGTCAACACCCTAAAAGACATTATGATAAAAGCTATACAGGAAATGCAGAAGATACACAGTCAAAAGAAATCATACAACATAAGAATAAGTTTTCAAGCTCAGGCATTAATAGAAAGGAGGCGAAAAATGCAAAGTAATAGAGGTATAGAACACCAAGAACTTAGAAAGACAAGTAAAAGAATAAAAAAAAATTATTAGGACGGACAACAGAAAGCATATAAGTGGACAAATCCAATAGATTGAAGATAATAAGAGCCTCAATCTTCTAAGGAGAGAATTAACAAATGACAAAAAAGAAGTAACGAAAAGATGTAGATGGAACTATGATCATCAACAGAGAACAATTACTAAGAAAATTCAGGAAAAAAATTAATCAACCAAGGACCATGAGCAGACAGAAGAAAGAAATGTAGACCACCTTCACGATGGACAGAGGACCTCAAAAGACTCGCTGGGAATTGTCTGCAGGAAACTCAAGACCGATAAAATTGGAAGAAACTATGGTGAGACCGATGTTCAACATTGGACGCAGAAAAGTGGATAATGAAGACTCTTATAATCTACCATATCCTACTAAATACTAGAACACATATTGAGGCATCGAACAAAAAGATTTTTCTACAATAACAGTACTAAACGATTCACCACTTGAATCAGGAAACAGTCTCCTTTAGTACTAAATATAATCTGCTTCGATAACATATGTTATATATATTTTTTGGTATATTTCTCCAATCTGTTATATTTTCTACTATGGATTTTGTAATTAGTTTCCTGTTGTTTACTAAAGCAATTATTCTAAGAAAAATTTCATTGAATGTTATTTTATTTTTATTTCATCAAGTTCTCATATTTAGAAGTCACTGTTTTATATCAAATTAAACATATAATGTACATTATATATTTGAACTATTTACTTACTTAGAAAGAACGCATAAGAAGCCGAATGGACGATAAACTTGACAAACGGTTTTTTCATAAATAAGCCCATATTTGACGTTGGTGATATCATGTATATCATACAATATACAGGAAACATCATACCTATCTTGGCTACCTGAATTCCTTGGCCGATCATGTTTTTTCTTCTAAACCCTGGTAATCCTTCGTACCAGATAGAAGCTAACAGTTGTTGGACGTTAGGATGAGCGATAAACTGGAAAAGATAGATAATCAGTACAAAAAAAAAACGATACAATGGATTATCGAAGTACCAGACAGGATTCTTGAACAGTACACCAAGAGGAGTCTTTTTAACAACTTTAAGATTCTACGACTTTTCCTTCAAGAAAATGCAAAGCTTATACATATGAGAAGAAGAAAAATACCAAGTAATCCCAAATTCAATAGGGTTTGTTCTTACACTAAGTGAAACTTACGTTAATATTTTTAAAACTTTGTATCTTGAAACATTATATATAAAGAAACAGAAAATATTTTGGAACTAAAGTGGCCCCTTAAGCCAATAGGAACCTTTGAAATAAGTTTCAAGATTCTATGGCGTTTTCTTCAAAAATCTAAAAAGCATAAGGATATGAGAATACCACGAAGACCTATTGATCCCAAAACCAATAGGGTTCTTCTTCCTTTCACCAAGAGACCCATGTTTTATGACTTTGCCTTTATGTCATCTCGCTCCGTTAGTCTTGGACTAATGCGCACATCGAGCTTCTTCTTCTTCTTCTTAAAGTGCCCTCTCCTCAATGGAGGTTGGCTACTACAATTTTAAACTCTTCTCTATCTTCAGCTGTTCTTATTAGCTGTTCAAAATTTAGCCCTGTCCATTGTCGGATGTTTCTGAGCCATGATAGTCTTTTCCTTCCTAGGCCTCTCTTTCCCTCGATTTTTCCTTTCACTATAAGTTGGGCATATTGGTACTTATTATTTCTCAGTATGTGGCCTAGGTATGATGTTTTTCTAACTTTTACTGTGTTAAAAAGTTCTCTTTCCTTGCCTATTCTATGCAGCACTTCTTCGTTTGAGGTATGCGATGTCCATGAAATTTTGAGTATTCTCCGGTAGATCCACATTTCAAAGGCCTCCAATTTATTTACGGTTGATGTTTTAAGGGTCCACGTTTCCACTGCACATCGAGCAATAAGACAAAAGAGGGAATCTAATCGTTATGAAAAGGAGACCAAAAAAGTGGCCTCTGATGGCGGACATATCCGGAAATGCAAATGCGCCAAATTTAAATTTCATGACACTTGACAATAATCATACAGTGGTGTAGGGGTTCTAATTTATCTATTTATTTATATTATATTACATAATATTTTATATTATATAGTTATCTATTTATTTATTAAAATTATTTATTAAAATACTTTTTTTAACACTAGAACACAATAAAGTTTTAATTAATTAATAACGATAATAGTCTAAAATGTTAAACAATTGTTAAAAAACTTCAATAGAAAATATAAATAAGCTTTCATGTGACAGTTTTGACAAAAAATAACATCAACAATAACATAACCCAACTAAATTTGATTTCTTAAACAAGGAAAGAGATTCTCTTTCCTTGTTTAAAGTGGCCTCTCAAAATAGCACTTCCTGTCTATCAATATGTTTGCCCCCACTACCTTTACATTCCCTCCTTTGTCTTATTGCTCGATGAATGCACACCCAGTTGACCTGAAAATCCCAACATCGCTACGCGCCCAATATTATATCAGTGTGTATATATGGCCGATTTTCGAGTAACATCAGTCAATAATGGACCTTAAAACAATACGTAGACGGCAAAAAACAAAATGACAACATGGCAAAAGCATCAATAAGAGGACTTGCAGGTAGAAGAAGCAAACTGAGAACGAAAAGATATGTTTGTTTTACACGTCTGTAAAACAACTAAAAAAAAGAGATTCTAGTGGCTTACAACAGCAGCCTAAGAGAAGCAGTCGAGGTCCCATAATGCAAGAGATAATAAAATATGATGCATTCCATCGATGAATGCACAAGAGTCCGAAGCAACAAATACTGGATTAAAAATAAATATATACCCCAGAGAGAAAACAAAAAGGAAAAACCAGAGGATAATTCGTAGGTCTACAACGGCTGTGTAACTAATAAAGCTGTGTAGTCCCACTAATAAGATTTTTTTCAGGATATCCTATAAAAAATATACAAAAAACATAAAAAACGGCTTTGGCCATCAAAAAAAATATAAAAAATACTAATAATAACTGGCGCAAGCCACCAAAAAATTAACAAAAACCAAGAAACCCGGGCACCTAGGGCCCAAATCCTCGAGCAGCAAGTCTTCGATCGACCTGGGCATAGCCCAGAGAGGAAACTTAAGGCCCGAGTAAGCAATTTTAGATTCGCGGATAAGTCACAAAAGGATAGTAGGAATAAAGCGCCTAACTCTGGCATGCATTTGATTCGATTTGGGAACCATGTTGGAGTCCTTGAGTATCCTGGAGTATTCAGGATTCCCACATAAAGATCATTTGTGCCAACAGTCTCCCCTATCGTGCATTAGAGTGTTATATGAAGTAAAGAGGTGATCTGGAGCACTCGAGCGCGGTGGAGTGATTCCTGTTTAATTCCAAATTGTTACATTGTTTAATGTTTAATTAAACAATTGTTTAATTGGTACACTTAAACGTCATTTTAATGGGTAAACAAATATCTTAGGTAGGGTTTAATTAAATTGCTGGCTTGCTTCAGGTCAGTCAGTCCTTCACGGGCTTTCACACACGAGTTATCTATACTTTGAGAGTCCTCCTGCTGGGGCTCTGCTCCATATCCACCATATCCATTCTAGCATAGACCTCGGGGCTAATTTTTGCTATCGACAGATTGGTGTTTTATTTTTTATTTAAGAATAGCCAGTCCTGCTTAAGGCTAGCTACCACCAATCTCGAAAATCCGAAGCCCTCTGCAGAGCGTATGAAGCAAGAATGGAAATTCCGATCGTTTCTTGCTGATGAGATGACATTTAAGACTTATCAAACTGTTATTAAACCTGTCGGGTCCTTAATAATGCGAAGAATAGTACAACAAAAGGCATCAAAAAGACAGGGTAAGGCAGTGCATGAATAATGAAGTACAGGAATCAGGAATATATAATGAAAGACCGAAGATAAGAAGGATAATAATAGATTTGATGACAAAATACATAAGAAATATAATAACATGAGAGTGAAAATAAAAAGAAGACATATTTATAGGACCTGTATACGTATGATGATAAATAAATAAATAGCAGATTAGAATTTTAACATTTGTAGCTGCTATATCAAAATTTTTGGAGTCAAAAAGTAATCAAATGAAAATAAAACTATTTTGGTCATACGAAACTTAACTTAGGAAGGGAACACCATAATATAACTGATGGCTTATGCCCAATAATTGCCTGTTACTTACGGCTTTTTGCTTGTATTTAATTGCTAATTTCAGTCTTTCCAATGTCTGTCTTTCTCCTGTTACCCAGATATCACCTTCAGGATCATAATTTAACATTATCTCAAGTTCGTGTGACGTTCTGGCATGGTCTAATAGACTTGTGGCAAATTGCTGCACTTGGTTTCTCATATCCTAGAAAAAATATTAATATTAATAACACACTGGGGTTCAAAATTTTACATTACAATACAGTCAACAGGCAAAAGTTTACTGTCTTAAAAGGTAGGAAAAAGTCGTCTTTCTTTCATCATGCCATGATATCATTACTATTTACAGTAAAACCTTCGTTAACCGAAATAATTGGGTGGGGGAGGCCATGGGAGGGGGGATAACAAGAATTTCGGATGTTTTCTAATAAGTAAATACAGAAAAAAATATAATAAAAAAAAAAGAAAATAAACCAGCTTTTTTAAATAAATCTTCTACTTTGTTTTGCGTTTTCGTTTAACAACGATGTTTTGCAGCTATATCTCTCCATCGTTCATTTGCAGAACGCCATGAGTTTGCCTCATGTGATTATTCGACGAAACGTAATTATTCGACAATAAAAATTAAGAACCTAGTGTCCCTAACTAATTAGGCCTACTATATAAAATATCTCTAATGCATTGAAATCTCGTCGCGCGGCGGTGTGGTGCTGCCTGTTGTCTGGCAGTTGGGTCGTCATCTTTGTCGTCTGATACGCTCAGGTTGTCTGGATGAAGAACGATATCAATGATGTCCTGGTCGATGAATTCACTTTCCGAGTCATCGGGTGCTAACCACTCACGTATCTCTTTTTGGTTAATTTCGTCACATTCCGGCAAATTTTGTATTAAAGGTTAAATTTCTTATGTCGTTTCCTTAAAATTAATTTTCTTTAGAATCGTCAATCAAAGTCCCATCAAAAAGTTTGTTCCAGCATTTTTCCAAAGATTGGAAGTTAAAGATTTGATCTTGGCCCACGACTCAGCACACCAATAAACAACATGTTCCATTGTTAAAGATTTGACAATTTCTGTAACACTTTTGCATTCATTCGTTTCCTGTAATAACAGATGTCTTAAGAATGCTCCTCTATAATTTCTCTTGAATGTCTCTATTACTTCCTGGTCTAACGATTGAATTAAGCTCGTGACATTCGGTGGCAAAAATCTGACAATTGTCACCATTTTGTAGATTTTGTAGGTAATTTGGCGGATTGTGAAGAAGCAACAATGCTTTGATGGAAAGGATTTTTGATTTGAAAAAGGATTTTACACTTGGGACGAATTCATTTTCCAACCATCCTGAAAATAAAGTGGTCGACATCCATGAGCTTTTTTGGCTTCTATAAAAAACTGGAAGTGCTTTTTCGGAAATATCTTTTAGAGCTCTTGGTTGTTTTGATTTCCCAATACACATAGGCATCAATCGGTGAATGAATCAGGACAAAATAATGATCATTTAAAAATGTCTTATGAGGAAGTTTCTACTAAATCTAGCACATGGTTTGCTGCAAACAAACTAAAACTTAACTCTGATAAAACGCAAAATTTGGTTATATCTGCAAGTAATTTACATAATGATCGAGATAATAAAGAGTCTGTTAAACTATTAATAGTAACCATAGAAGCTAACAAGTAATTTTGTAAACATTCATAAAGATGAATAAGATATTTCTTGCCATCCAGTGTTCTTGAATTTTGTCCTTATATTTAAATATATAATACAAAATTGGTTATTGCACTCTTTAATTTGGGCATACGGTTGTATTAATTCCATACACCAAAGAGACTATCATAAAAATACAATTTGTAGTTCCAATATATAACATAAAATACTATGGTGGGTCCTATTCTTCCCTTACTCTTTTTACAGTTTTGGACTCTTTCTTTCTGGTGTTCAACTACGTCTTAAATCCTTCTCTTCTTCTTCCTACGTCACTTTCTGTCACTTCTATCATTATTGACATTTGTCACTTTTATTCTCCTCGAAATGACCAACGAATGTTCAAAAATATGCACCTGTATTCATTTTTTTGGTAGTTATCCTCATAAAGATATCGTGCGAGAAAACGTTGTAAAATACTTTACTCAACTGGGTGTACAATACGAGCCACCTGAAGAAATCAACGCACAACCAAAAAATAACAACAAACATCCAAATAATCAGAAAGTACAACCAACAAAATGGGCACTTTGTAGAAGAAAACCAATTGTTGAAGATTATTTATCACCTCTTGAATCTTTAAAAATGAGGACAGTGAAGTTAAAAACAAATCAGATAGTAGAAGTGCCAGAATACTTACACAATATGTGCAGTTTCGTTTTAAAACATGCCAGTACAAAGGGCATTTTTAAGAAACGTGGAAATAATACAAAACAAGAAGGTACGATTTAAATTCTTGTTTTTTTACAACTAGACAAATAATAATGTTTTGTCCTCTTTTTAAGGTAGCTGTTTTACAAATGATAATGCATGATCAATGCCTTCCTCTAGATATTTACTCACCTATAGATATTGCTATGGCAATACTAAAATATCTCAAGAAACTTCCCACACCGCTAATACCAAGCACACACCACGAATTGTTTTTCAGCTGCTACGAATTATATGAACGAGAAGAAGCATTACTTCTAGCTTGTTTGCAACTACCAACAGTAAACATCAATGCACTGGCATATACACTGCAGTTTTTCGATGAAATCACCAAGCACAAATCTTCAAATCAATTGGACTTGGAGACATTAGTAAACAGCGTGGGTCCTCTAATAATGCCATCTACCAATAAAAAATCTGTAGCTAACAGTATTGTGAAAATATTAATTTCTAGATCAGATATGATCGGTATGGTACCTGAAGTTATGACAGCTAAGTGGCCGTTACGAAGAAATAAAACAATTTGTCAGAAACTTACTGCAATTTTTGTAACATTCGAAGACGTTTTGAGGAGAATAAAAGTTTAACTTTTTTGTTTTAAACCTTTAGATTATTTTACATCATACCTTTTTTAATTTCGCATGGCCTGTAGAAGTCAAACACTGCATGAACTGCCTATAGTTTTCAGTCTAAATTAATAAAGCTTTTCATCATTGTAGCTTAGTTTATGGTAGATGAGTGTACTTCGATGATGGATATTCTGTGAGTCCTGTTTTAGATGTCTTTTGTCACCTATTTAGGACGTGGTATGAGTGGCTGCATTGGTTCAGTCGTTGAAGCTTTCAGAATAGAAGGGGCTTGAATGCTAAAACGGTTCTTTTCAGAATTATTTTTTTTTATCTAATTGTGAACCAGCTGAGTGTAAATGAGGAAGAAACAATTGTAAATGATTGAATTATGAGTGAAATTTGATAAATAACTATGTAATTTATTAAAGTATTCCTCAATCGTTGTATTGATATCAATATTTCTAGGATATATATTTTATATTTTACAGGGAAACCACAGAAAACCGATCCCTCCCTATCCGTGTTCAAAGCTTGTATTAAGCTATTTATTTAAGTGTATGCTTAAAAAAGAGTTGCCTTCAGGGTGTCGATGTATTCTTCAAAAAATTCGTTATTGCCAGAACTATATGGAAGCTCTCTTTTGGGATGTCCGATGAATGCATTGCTACAAGATGAACAGGCAGTTTTAGTTTGAGTTTAGTTCTTGAACCTTAATATATATTTTTAGTGGATTTTCTTGGGCTTAGGTTCATAAAAAAAAAGATATTTTCATATATTTTTTCAACGTTTCAGCAGGAAATCCATGCCTTTTTCAAGAAGTAATATTGACAAGCATGTAAAATTCGGTGTTAACAAGTATACAAAGACGCCACAATTAAAATAATATTAAAAACATGCCCACCAAGTCACTACATGTAAAATGTTTTTCCATTTACAAATGGAATATTGTAATGTATGAAAAAGAAAAGTGTTGGCTAAACGATGCTCCAGAGAGCTGGATTATTATAGGTTTTGCACGGCATGGGTACACATTCGTGCCTAACAGCTTTCGTTTCAGCTTGGAATTAAGATTGGATATCTACTTAAACATTACTTACTATATACTCAATTCTGAACTCAGTTTCCATCCTACTGAGTCTCCTAAGATCCCAAGAAAGTTCAAAAGCTGTTAAAAGTGGATCGTTAGAAGACAAAGATATTAAAGAAGGAGATGATAGCGCCCTATATGCGTTAATCCTTGATTGCGAATGCCTTAGGGAATCTGCCTTGCTTGAGAATACACATTCGTCACAACCGCACCTAAAAATTATTATATAATACATACTTAATGTTAAGGGGAAGAAAATGTAATAGATTACCTTACGTCGTGAGGCATTGGCAAAGTTGCACCCCTATCTAAAAGTAATTTTATGATTTCATAATTGTTTTTGTGAGCTGCTAAGATTAGTGGAGTTATATCTGATGTAAATGTTGATGCTGATCTATCTATCCTTTCCCAACTCTGCAAATTACATATTATATTTAAATATTAAATTTTGAATAGGTGCACTATGTTATATGATATCAAAAAAGCAAGATAATGAGTTTTAACGTAAAAATTCAAAAACAGTAACATAAAAAGTGCTATATTTCTTTATAGACAAAACATAATACGGCTCTATAATATATTTATTTCATAATAACAAATACCAGTTTCATTATATGTCTTTTTAAGTTTTTATTACCTCATAAATCAGGCTCTTTTGTATTTACATAATACCTGATGCGCTCATATGACACGCGATTAAAACTAGGTCAGAGATACTAGAAGACAAGCAAAAAACAATTTAAACCGAATCTTTTACCACACCTACATTTTTTATTGTTCTATTCCTACTAAAATGGTTTTGTAATAGCTGATCGTAAATCATTGTATTGATTTTTGAATTTGCAAAACTAGAAGGCATTAAAAAGATTCGCAACATCTCCCTTTACATATAAATTCAGATATTAGCCATTTCCTCGGTACAGTAAATTTCATTGAATTGTATTAGAATATCTATGTAGTATAGGTTAGTAGTCATAAGATTTCTGTGGGTATTTCGTCCGGTCCCATGGATTTATCATTTTTTATACTTTTTAATTTCTCGTTTGTAAGTTCATTTCTACCAGTGAGTTGTATTGCCTCCATTCTTTTGTCTTCTTCAAATAGTTTTTTTATATATTTTTCCCATCTATTTATTTTCCCTACAATTTCAATGATTATTTTGTTGTTTTTGTCCATTATGTTTCTGATACTTCTTTTTTGTCATCAGTTCCTGGCGATTTTCTGTGTCATTTTTTTTTTGTCATTACCTCTTCTCATGTAATATCTTCGTCAATTTCTACGTTACTTTGATCTTGTTTATAATATTTGTGAGTATTTCCTTGTTTAGTTTCTTCTTTCCCCCTCTTAGCATATTTCATACATTTTTAGACCTTTTTTAGACATACAAACGTATTGAAATTGCACGGTCAACTTTAAATAGAATGAGAAAACTTTTTTGTAATCGCGTTATCAATATATCGCCCCAGATAAGAATGCTTTGATGTTATATTTTCTCTACCCTTGTGTATGAAGTTGAAGCTTGGACACTTAATAAATCCAACATTAAAAACCTAGAAGCATTCGAAATGTGGTGTTACCGACGTATTTTGAAAATATCATGGATGGATCGCAAAACAAACGAACAAGTTCTCGAACAACTAGGAAAATAATGCGAAGTTTTAAATTCAATAAAAATCAGGAAATTGGAATACTTATGGCACATCATGAAAGGTGAAAAGTACGAAATACTAAGGAATATAATGCAGGGTAAAATCAAAGATAGAAGAAGCGTAGGAAGACGTAAAATCTCGTGGCTACGCAATCTCCGTGAATGGTTTAGGTGCAGTTCAATTGAACTATTCAGGCGCGTAACCAACAAAATTATAATTGCCAGAATGATTTCCAATCTCCGATAGGAGTGGAACTTGAAGAAAAAGAAGAAGAAGACATACAAAAGTTTGCTTTAGTTTCTTTATCTCATAGTTTCACTCTCACTTCATTCTGTTTCTAACTTCTCTCTAAATTTCGTATATTTCCGGGTTTTTGTTGCTCATATATGAAGGGATCGTGTTTTTCCTTAGCTGCTATTGTCTGTTATGTCCCGAGAATCTTTTCTTCCACTTGTCTTTGGTAGACAATTAAGTGCACTCGTTTTCCAGATATTCTATATTAAATTTTGTTATATAGATCAGTTTCCTTCTTCTCGTGGATTTATATGCGATAATTCGAGATTTGCATAAGACCAAACTATTTCATATGCCAGCAGCTTCTGATGTTAGCATTCGTACGTCAAGTATGAGGCTAGGCTGCAGTTTTCTGTTAGTGATTACAAAGTCGTTCATTCACTGTTTGCCTCTGGTGTTGTAAAATGTATATTTGTGTATATTTATATTATGTTGTATACTGTTATTCAAGAACTAAAATACTAAAATTTTGTTATGGCGTTTACTGTTTTTAAACGCAAGAGAAATTGATATCAAAGCTTCAACAAATCTTTTATTATATAAAATGTACTTTTATCTATATATCTATAGGCCATTGTGCTTTTGACCACCTGAGACACTTCCTTCAATACGTTTCATCGAGGGTAATTCACATTTTTTATTTATTTTTTTTCCTATAAAAAGAAAATTCAGAAATTTGAAATAGCTGATTATATACAGATTGTCTCAAAAGGGTTGTCTAATTTAAGTACAAGTAGATGTTATGTGCACTTAAAAAAATGTGATAATATATAAATTAGACTTCAACTAAAATGTAAGCAGTTTCTTCCGTGAAAATTTATAGGGATTATTATCAAATACAAACCATCAAAACCGAAGATGCAATTTTTTTCTCGATATTTGTTTATTTATAGAACAGGTCACTACAAAAAAAACCTACCTACCAGTTCTAACATTTTTGGTATCTCAAAATCTCACAAAATTAGGAATATCATAAATCTAATTGTATTAATTATTATCGTTTAGAATTCACACGGATATCTCTTACAAAACAGTTCACTAATACTAATTTTCCAACGCCGTTTCTGCGACTTATATAATGAACACAACTGTTCTGAATATATATATATATATATATATATATATATATATATATAATGTATATATATATATATATATATATATATAATATATATATATATATATATATAATATATATATATATATATATATATATAATATATATTATATCAATGGTATTCCGGGTTTGACTCCGCGTTAAATGTTGTTGGTTTTGATGAAAACCATTTTGACGACGTTTCGGCAAGATCTCACTTGCCGAACGTCGCCTAACGTCGTCAAAATGGTTTTTATTAAAACCAACAACATTTAACGCGGAGTCAAACCCGGAATACCATTGATATAACATATAGCTCCCGCGGAAATATCAAAACTAACATATAATATATATATATATATATATATATATATATATATATATATATATATATATATATATATATATTGTTATGGATCAGTTTATCGATCAGAAATAGAATAAAGAGTTTTTTATTATTTTAATATACCGCGGGCATATAAGTTAAAATACAACCCTGTACTTATTTGTAATAGTTAGAATAAGAGAAAACATTGTTCCGTGACGGGACCCTAACGAGTTTTTCCGTGAAAGACTGAGTGAATAGTGAAAGGACAATGGAATCAGTATAATTATAGATTTAGGAATAAACTTGTAATTGTATTTTGCGGTGGGCATTTTTCGAAAGTAAATAAGAATTAGATTTAGATAAGAGATAACAAGAATTTGGAAACTTATTTCTGTTGAAAAAGGCAAAATTGTTAATGGTTTCTGAAAAGTAATTTGAGTGAAAGTAGTTTATTTGTTTTAAATATCATGTTGGAAATTTTCTAAATCGAAAATAAGTGGGAAAGATGAATGCTTATGATTGGTTAAAAAAGAATGGTGGGAATGAGAGAGTTGAGAAGGTTGTCTGGGAGAGATTGAAAGATTATTATGTTACCGGCAGACCAGAAGAGAAGACGTGTTTTCGTGTAGTCAATCTGAGTACCAGTGTTTTCGTTTGTTAGTGAAAAAGGTGGATACGAACTAAAATTCCAAGTTTCAAAGAGTTATTTTTTTTTTGTGAATAAATTATATTTTTATATGGTCATTTTTTTTTTAGTAGATATTATTATAAAACAGATCAATAGATAGTTTGTAATTAAAATTAAATTTAGAGTATAGGAGTTTGTTGGGAAAGATAATTGCCCACAGAAGTTATTTATTAATATTAATCGTATTGTTTATTGAAAATAAATAATAATTTGTGTGCATATTTATGTTGTTTTAATGTTAGTTCCTGTTCTATTCCGATTATGAGCAACTAGGAGATACTCCTAGTTCAACTACTCCTGAAATGGAAATGGGCTGGACACAATGAACGTCTCCAATACGGACGATGGAACAATGCCATCGGAAAGTGGCGTCCATACAATGCAAAGAGATCAAGAGGCAGACCACAGATGAGGTGGAAAGATGACATCAGGAAACAAGGAGGTCCCACATGGCAGAGAACAGCTCAAGATAGGGAAAGATGGAGAGAACTGGGGAAGACCTATACCCAACAATAGAAGGATAGAGAATAGCTTCAAAAAAAAAGGAGATACTCAACCCACTAGACGAGATATATAAAGTAAACTGATTAAAGTAATAATTTTGAATAAAAAGGCACCCTGAGAATTTTTAATAGTAACTGAATTATATGACTCTGCATAAATTAGTGAGTTAATTAATTAAATAATTGGATTAATTAAATTAGCGTTAATTAATAATAAAACATCATAAAGCAGATCACAACAATATATATATATATATATATATATATATATATATATATATATATATATATATATATATATATATGTAATAATAAGTGTTGGTATATCACCAAAGCGATGTTTGGAAGAAAGAGTACAAGTAAAGACCTCATCATTATATACGATTGCCATTCTGTGGTAATTATATTCTTCATAATAAATTAATATACTTACATACGCTTCTCCAGCAGCATGGTGCTCTTCTTCCCAGTTCAACAAAATTTCAACTGCTTCAACATATTCTTCTTTAATTGCATGTAATAAACCATCCTACAAAAATGTTTTTATTGTAAATATTAGGGAATATGACGCAATTTTAAGAAAATTTTCAAATTTTAGAAAATTTGACAAACAAGGTAATATTAAAACATTTTTTATATATATTTATATATTATATATTTTGTCGAAAATGACAAGAAATAAGGTGTGTAGACCTAAGGTGTTTTGTAAGAATACAATAGTTTGCGGGTTTCTATGCTTGGGCTGAGTTTTAAACGTTTTTCTAAAAGCCAGATTAATTTGACTTTTTTAAAAAGTACGTTAATGAGCGAGGACTGAACTTTTTAGCTCCATTTTGTTCGAAAACTTGATTGTTTAACCCAGAAACCATCTCTTATGATCTCCCAGACCATATGTTGAGGGCCACATTAGACGAAATGGAAGGGGGACAAAAAGCAAAAGACCAAGACGAACAAATCAATCCTTTACGCTGGCCAAAGCAACAAAATCTAACAACCCCATCCTCGATGACCTCCGAGACCTACCTTTACAAGATAGAATCCGTCAAAGCCACTGAATTTATAATGGAATGAAACACTTTCGCAGAAGATGGCTGAAGGTAACGACTTGACGACCGGGAGAAAATCGAGGAACGTCTTCTACAGGAATTCACCATTGACGAAGATTCTGTATATTACAGTACTGCAAAACTCTGTAACGAAACAATGAGCCTCGTAGTATCTCACAAGGTGTGATACTACCTTGTGAGACCAGTTTACCATGACTTCAGGGACGTCCTTAGCTAGTGCATGAGTTCGACTTTCGGCAAAAAAAGCACGTAAACCGTTGGTTCCCCATGAGCTAGACTGCGTTGATATTAGTTACCTAAAACAGGGTTTAAGATGCAAGTTGCACCTAAACAATCAGAAACGATTTCTACGCCAAGAACACCATACGATATTATTTTTATTACCATAACTCCGTCAGGACAGGACGATGAAATCAGAGTTATACTTAAGATCCTGAAGAAGCTAGGAGAAAAAGATGCACAGTGGACTTAGAGGACAATATTAAAACTGTTTCACATATCTGGGAGTTACATTAAATACTAGAATGGATGGAACAAGAGAACCAGAAATTCAAAGAAGAATAGTAAACAGAAACAAAGCTTCTTTTTCACTCGCCCATATATTCAGCTCCAAAAACACACACTGGATATTAAAAATCAGGGTCTACAAAACTATTATCAGATCAATAGTGGTTTATGGATGCGAGATATGGGTGATTACAGAAGAGACAAAACGAAAGTTGGAAGTCTTTGAAAGAAAAGTCTTTAAAAAGATATTTAGACCTATTAACAAAAACGGAGTATCGAGAGCCATGTACAACCATGAACTTTACCAAATGTTCAAAGAGGCACAGATTTCAGAATTCGTTAAACATTGTAAGTGAGAATGGAGACTGAAAGATTGCCAAAAAAGAGCCTAGATAGTAAAATGCAGGGCGCCAGACCAAAAGCAAGGCCCACGGATAAGATAAAAGGACGAAGTGGCAGCGGATACGCAAAATTTGCTAGACGTGAGAACCTGGAGAAGATCGTCGCGGGACCGCCAAGGTTGTAGGCATAGTTTGAAGAAGGCCAAGGCTCGATTTGGACTGTAGTGCCATTGGAGAGAGATACACGCTCGAATTCATTACCAAACAAAAACGAAGGACAATTTCCAAAACCATGGATGCAAGATCCACCTTACGATCAAAATCCGAAGATCGAAGAAAGGGTGGAGGTATTTGTCGCCCCGAACAATCGACGCCTAATTCTGCAAGACGACAAAACGCAATATTAAAACTAAATGTTACCTTGACTTGAATATTTTGTACTAAAAGTAATTTAATAAGTTCAATATTTTCGTTTTCTATGGCTGACACCAGAGCTGATCTATTAAGTGGATCCACACAGTTGATATCAAACTCAGAGGGATTGTTTCGGTACTCATCAATAATTCTGAAAAAAACATATACATTTAAGTGTTTTAAATTTACGAAAATGTATAAAAACATATATTCTCTGTTCACAAATTGTTGATAGCACGAAATATGCCTCAAAATCATCAAACGGTCGTAAAATTTGTATCATCATAGGCGTTCCTGAGGTGTTTATTCATTAAAATTAATATTAATATTAATAATATTTTAATACTGATATATTTAGTAAAAAACAATTAAAACTTTCACGGCTAATGTTGGTTATTATATTATATTAATAAAAATAATAATTTAACCATTAACAATTTTGTAAATAAGAATACCTTATCTCTTTGGATATTTCGATACCAATCTTCGCGTTTAATCACTTTACTAGAAAACCTGGTATTTATATCCGAAGGTACTATCGGTTGCAAGATAATTAGGATGGAATTCCCCAGATTTTTATTAATATAATGGGTATAGATGTCGGATTTGGCCACGTACCTCGTCTGTTTAGTTTATATTCGAAACTTAACTTAAAAGGGTGAAGTTATTACGAACGAAAACAATTTGTTTGTCTAGTACGTTTTTGATCGCAGGTAATTTACGGCTCGTCGGTGTTTCCGCTTCTACGGCAGTAATTAGCGTCTCGAATATTTCTTTTGCGAATTATATGCAGTGCGTGAATGATTTTTTATTCCATATACCTACGAACATATACGTACCACCTTTCGCTCGTGCTCGTTTTGTTGGATTGTTTGTGATGGCTTCATCATCAACATCATCAAGTTTTACACCGGTACTGTTGCGTACAGTCGGTAAGTCTGTCTATTCACTAAGAGAGAAGACTATTGTCCTGAATGTTCACGATGCTCTGGTTTCTCAGAATCCCACAAATACTGTTCGCAACATAGTCGAAAGTTGTGCCAACATGACTGGCGTAGGGGAGTCAACTATATATAGGTTCCTACCAGAAAGAAAAAAACACGGTATAGCTAACCCAAATACAAACGAACACTTAAAGAGAGGGAAAAAGCCTATTGAACTTGATGAATTTGCCAAAAATGGTATTCGAAGGAAAATTCATGGATTTTTTTTCAAAAAAGAAATACCAAACCTAAATAAAATTTTACAAGAAGTTAGAGATGATCCGGATTTGCCTCATATCGGACGAACTAAATTGTGGCAAGTTTTAAAAGAATTAAATTTCCGGTGGGAGAAATCAGACCGAAAATCACTTTTGATTGACCAGGAGGAGATAATATGTTGGAGAAGAAATTATCTAAGATCCATACGAAAATTCCGGGCTAAAGGAAGGCCAATCTTCTACCAGGATGAATCATGGGTAAACTCAGGTCATACTCTAAAAAAAGTTTGGTCAGATAAAAATATATTAAGGTCTAGGCAAGCCTTTATGGAAGGTTGGTCTACTGGTATCTCCCCACCTTCTGGTAAAGGCAGTAGATTAATAATTTCCGACATTGGCAGTGAAAAAGGATTCGTTAAGCATGGTTTGTTGGAATTTCAGTCCAAAAGCACAAAAGACTATCACGAGGAGATAACAGCTGATGTTTTCGAAGAGTATTTTGTGCAGATGATTGAATACATACCACCAAATTCAATTACAGTATTAGATATTGCACCTTATCATTCACGACTAGTAGAAAGACTTCCAACGACTGCGTGGAAAAAACAGGATATTCTTGACTTGCTGCGGAATAAGTACCTGCCTTACGAAGATGGAATGGTAAAAGCAGAACTTTTAAAAATTGCCCGGCAACACAAATCTAAGTTCAAGAAATACGTAGTTGACAAAATGGCGGAAAGGAGAAACATCACAGTCCTTAGACTTCCACCCAACCACTGCGAAATAAATCCAATTGAACTCATTTGGGCACAAATGAAAAGTTATGTGGCTAGAAAAAATACGTCATATAAAATACAAGCTGTACGTGAATTGTTATACGAGTCTTTACAACACATTACAGAACAAAACTGGAAAGATGCAGTAAGACATGTCATAGAAGAAAAACAAAAAATGTGGGATCTTGATAACATAATTGATGCGACCGTAAAGACACAACCGCTAATTATTAACCCTCAAGACGACTCGGATTCCGAAGTTGATCCTATTTATTTTGAATTTGAATAGTTTTCTAATCGTAATTATATAAGGTAAGTGATAGTAGTTGTAATCGTAAGGTATTAAAGGGGAAAGGCGCAAAACTTCACCTGTCAAAATGTTCAATGTGTTTTAAATGTATCGATTTTTTTTCAAATCCTGAGAAAACTAAAAAGCCTTTTTGGAAAAATTTAAATGCAGAATAAAATATTTATTAGAATAAATAAAAAGTTTCTTTTGCATGCAATATTTTCAATTAAAAATTATACTATATTCTCTCTTTTATTTTCACCCCTGTTGCATAACATAATAAAATAAACATTGTAGAAGTTTTCAGGGACTTTCTGTAATATACATCAGTATACACATATGTAATACCCTCAGTAATATTGTAATCTTTTATTCTGCTTTTAAATTTTTCAAAAATATTAATTAGTTTTCTCCGAATTCGAAAATAATGGATACATTTAAAACACATTTGGTGCCTTTCCCCTTAATTAAACTAATGTATCTTTTACAAATGGCAAAAAACTTTATATATATATATATATATATATATATATATATATATATATATATATATATATATCCGGTTTTTTAGGCGTTACGCCCGTCCGGTAGGGATCTATGGAGGAGTATCACCGAGCTGCAAGCCCTTATCTCTTGCCGTACTGCTCCACCATAGGCCGATCAGAACCCAGCATATCCTAGTCTAAGCCGCAGATTCATCTAGAATTTTAAACTGCTGCGTTAGACTTTTTGTTTTCTGTACACCGAGCTGGGGCTCGACCCACATCCACTAAACCATTCGACAGTGAAGCGAATGAGAGGCAGCCGCACAGCCCGCTGAGCTATCCGACCGACCGCAAAAAACTTTATTTTTGAATAAAATATTTTATTTTATTATAAGTTTTATTAAAACAAAAAAACAATTTAAAAAATATATTTATTTAGTTCAAATAAATGTTTCAATCATATACTCTACGACACTGGTCGGCCAAAATACGTTCCTAATCGGATTATAAGCTTGACCGCTGTATTGTATTCCGGCAGATACAGGGTGGGTTAGTCGAAAACATCTTAAATCGTCAGTTTCAGGTTGGTTTTTACTATTATATCGTATTACCTATCCTCTCTGTATTTCAGTTCTCTAATTAGGATTAAACTTGTAGTGAGCTATCAACAAATTGTGAACCGAGTATAGTACTGTGTAACAGATAGTAATGTGCAACAGATTTAAAAGTATAGAGTCAAAGATAATGATGTATTTCTTTACCAACAATTTAAAATCTTGTTAAAAGATGCTATAAAAGCTCGTGTGAGGTAATCCATAGAACCGAAAGGAAGAAAATAAAAAATAAAATAAGAAAAAAGAAAAAATAAAAAAGGCTTAAAAACCGCTTTGATGTTGATATGTGACTTGTTACGTAGAGCATAGAGACTTGTTTAGAGCAACGTAAAATAACTCACCTTTGAACTGTGGCACAATCACCTCTTTCAGCGTGAAGCAAAAAGGTTTTTTCAATTTGTGATAGAGGTCTATCCAGCGGGTCTTTGTTGAGAGGTTCTTCGTTTAGATCGTCATTCCCGTTGCCTATTAGCTTCTCTAGGGATTCCGTTCCCTTCATTGTATTATTTTAAATTTCATGTACCGAGAACTTTCCAAAAAATATCTGGAAGCCAATAAAATAAAAAATTATATACGTAAATATTATTTATCGAGAGTACTGTATAATCAGTGGTACTGTATATTTAATGTCTATACAGTTCACTGGTCACGATTGGATGTTATTCTTTTAAAAGTAAGCAACAGCTTTTCCAATTTGCATTTTCCAAATTTAAATCAAATCAAAAATCTCCTTCTACCAGTCTTTTTTTGACCAATCATCTTTTAGTACTTCAAAATCAGACGAAATACCTAGCTCTCAAGAACTGACTTTCCCATTTCCCATTTTTGTTCTATATAAACAAATCTAACAATAGACTTTGTCTATACAGTGTGTTTCAAAAAGGTATGTCATAAATTAAATCACGCATTCTGGGGACAAAAATAAATTGATTTGGATCTAACTTACCTTAGTACAAGAGTGTATACAAAAAAAGTTACAGCCCTTTGAAGTTAAAAAATATCGTTTAAACAGTTGTGAAGTTTAATATATACATTTTATATATAGCTATTTAAGTAAGAGAATTTAGAGTGCCTACAATAGAAGTAACTGAAAATAAAACGAAACCCTTATAATAGAAGAAAAATCAATGACCCATAGATCAAAATTTAAATCATGGATAGATTTAGTAACGCTTTACTTGATGTAAAAAATAATTCAGGAGATGAAGAAAAAATAAATGAAAAAAATTGAAGTCACGAAAACTATACACACTGAAAACTTTTGTTTATTCAAACAGTTTTTGTATTGGTAGAGATACGTAGACGATGTACTGGTATGTTTTACAGGAACTAACAGACAACTTGACCAATGCTTATTGTATAATAATTCATTCCATAGTCATATTGAATTCAAAATGGAAACAGAACAGAATTAATCTATGAACTTTCTAGATTTAAAAATTATCAGACTTAAAAACAAACATGAGTTCTTCGTATTTCATAAACCTACCCATACTGACACGACTACAAAATTCATCATATTATCCTACGCAACATAAATTGGCAGCCTACCATAGGGTAAGGGTAATTTCATTTGACATGAAATTCTCATGTCAAAAAACAACTTCGAGATATAATTGAATATCATTAAGCAAATAGCGATAGTCCTCTATTGTTCATCCTGATTATGGATGTAATAATAAAATAAAAGTACGAACTAAAAAAGGATACCAAATGGGAGAAAAACAACTTTAAATAATCTGCTATGTAGACGACGTAATATTACTCTCTCAAAGTAAAGATGATTTACAACGTATGCTGCACCAATTTGATATAACCGCCAGGAAATGTAACATGTTAATTTTCCCAAAAAAGACAAAATGCATGGTTAGAACAGCTTTACTAAGATGTAAATTGGAGCTGGAAGGTCAGATAAGAGAACAAGTGATGGAGTTTAAATATCTAGGCATCACATTACCTAGCTACAGAAAGCTCGAAACTCCGAAGTGCAAGATCAATTGCATAGATCAAACAGAGCCGCAGGCTGCCTGAATGAAACCATATGGAGAAATAAAAATATCGGTAAAATATCGGTAGAGAAGACAAAATGGATGTTAGAAACAGCAGAGATGAAAACTCTTAGAAAGTGTTTTCTAATCGGACAGATAGTTTTCTATCGAACAGAGCTGAAATTACATATATACGACGTAGATGCAAGGTCGAGAACATCAAGAACTGGGTAAGAAATAGAAGAGTAGAATGGAACGATCATATAAGCCGAATGACAACAAATAGAGTAGTAAAGACGGCAAGAGATGGTTCCCTAATAGGAAGACGATCAGTAGGAAGACCAAGAAAACGATGGAACGACAACTTACTAGAGGCACATTGAAAAACAGGTAGAGTCATGTCTACAGATTGAACGAAATAAATTCGGAACATACAAAATATTATGTATTTCGGCTCAATTCTGCTGTAGGTGGTTGACCAACAAAAGGCTGTCAAATTATACCAACATCCAAATTAGACCAACAAATATTATAAAAATCCAATACTTCACTGGGCTGCTAGATTCTGAAATCATAAAAATTGAAAGCTACACATAAATATACGATTTTATTATGCTATCAAACCACTTATAGTCCAGGAAATGAAGCATTTCACCTCGCAATTTTTTCGTCCTGCCTGGATTGACTTGAAATTTTAACAGAAGGTAGGTAATAGCCAAGGATTAAAAATCTATATCGAACCAAAGTGCGCCAAAGCCTCAGGGGTGGTTGCCAACCCGTCTCGGGGTGAAAATTTTTTTTTACGTTTTAACTACAGGTTTCGATTAAAAAAGTGGTTCTAAACAAAAAATGTTGTACACATTTTTTTTTGGAACTGATATTTTTCAAGTTATTCGCTATTGAAAGTAACAACTTTTAGACGAAAAAATCGACGTTTTTAATCGATTTTTCGCGAATAACTCGAAAATGGTGCATTTTATCAAAAAAATTGTAGAGAACAAATTTGTACCTTTTAAAAAGACAAATACAATTCATTTTTTTAAATGTTTTTGCGATAAAACAGGAACCGAAATACGGCCTATCAATGTTCAGCGGTTTTCTTCAAATGCCAAATTTGAAAGATTCAAAGTCAAATATCGGGAAAATGATGCATTTTTGGAAGAAAACTCACAGAACCTTTTTTAAAGAGCTTTAATAGACCTGTCATAAAAAAAAGACTCTAGCTCAAAAATTGAGTGAGTTATGATAAAAATAAGGTCAATACCTCATTTTTTACGAAAAAATCGATGAAAACAACCCCCTAACCAGCCCCATAATTAAAATCGATCTTCACTCTTCTGCAATTCCCTTTGTACATGTATTGTTAATACGTCCAAGAAGTTTGACCCATTTAAAATGCTTAGTTTTAGAAAAAGTACAGCATAAAGCGAGAAATGATTTACAATTTCATATTTTTTTCCCTTCTTTTTTTAAATATCTCCGAAAATACTGAATATATGAAAAAAGTAAAAATGTACTAAATTGTAGCTTTTTTAATGACTAAAATTTTTCTTTATTTAGATTTGTTGTACAATGAATATTTGGCGAGATATAGCCGTTTAAAACATCGATATACGATCAAGCACCATCTTTTTCGAGCCCTTTAAACTCACCCCATTTAAAAACCAAGGGTTCCAAAAAGATTTAATTCACAAATCCTTGTAGCTCTTAAAAACCTCTACAAAACCGTTTTTGAAGAAACACTCTATCGTTAAAAATGAAGGTAATACGTTAAAAAATTCAATTAATTTTTTTTCGGAAAATGCCATTAGTATAGTACAGTACCATTGTTTAAATAGGACAATGACAGTACATTTCGGAGGATAATAATCTACAAAACCGGTATATTAGGTAGTGGGACGTTATACATTCGAAATTGTAAGCGTTCTTATTTTGAAATCCCATACAACAGAATAAAACATCTGCTCATATGTCTATGGCTTGGCAATGAAAATATCAGAGCAACTGATTGGGGATGGTATTCCAAAGATGGTTTGTTATTACCCGTACGCATGAACAAACAACCTGCACCAGATGAACTTTTGTTCTTGTTGTTATAAATGTAAATATTTTCAACTATTTATGTAAATGTATAAAAATATATGGTGCCTTTTTATGTTGATAAATTTTTTTGTATTTAATTCTAGTTTTTTCAATTTATATCTATTAAATTAGTTTATAAAAACTGCAATGTTATAAAGGGTGATATTTAAAAGTTGAAAAGATGCAAAATTTTGTCAAAAAATTGTTTTCACCTATAGCACTTATAACAATTGATTTTTAAGGGTTGAAAATGTATGAAATTGTATTTAAAGTATAAAAAAATCACTATTTAACTAATCCAAACCAAATTTCACTCATCTTAAGATTTGCATTGAAGGGTTCATCGGCATGATATAAACTATAAAGCAGAGGGTGAGTTGAGCTTAATTGAGGACCTTGCTGTAAGAAGGGGGCAGCTCCATTTTTGGTCAAATTTTAGTGTATATATGAATATTATGTAAAATAATTAGGTGACTCGATTGGTGCAAGAAAGAATCAGATCCATTTATAAATGATAAACCTATAACTGTTTATGTACCTGCCTCCGAAATTGTTTGCTGCAAGACGGATGCAGCTCCGGAGTTGCCCCCTTCTTTCGCCAAACATCGAGACGCTTCGGCTGTAACCGTTAACTTGGCCTCGAATGAATTTAACGGAAGTTTTTAGTATTCAGTCTATGATTCAGTCGATTGAAGTCCATTGCTCTAACGGTCTAACGTATTCTCCCAGTGCATTTTACGAAAGTTGACCACGTGTGTTTCTATACAACTGTTTATTTGTTTTTAAGTGTTTTTTATTATTTATTTGTATCATGAGTGGTACAGAATCTGATTTTGATAATGTTAGTCTGTTTAGTGGAGGTTCGTCTGATCTGTATAATCCATCCGAATCGGAAAAAAGCTCTGATCCTGATGAAGCAGGGCCTTCAGTGAAAAGAAGGCGTGTAAAAAAACACAAGCTTCCAGTCAATACAGTTCAAAACGAGGTTCAGAGTGTTTCGTTTGCGAAGAATAGAAAAAGTGTTGATTCAGCTAAGTGGAAACGAAACATTAAGAAAAAGTGTATTGCAGAAGGAAAAAGTTATGTTAACTGGAAAGGTAGTAGTGTGGGACCTAGGCAAACTGGACCTAATTGTGAATGTAAGTTTAAATGTTTTGAAAAGGTGAACGAAGAACAGAGGCAAGTAGTTTTAGAAAACTTTAATGAAATAGGAGACAAACAGATTCAAACTATCTACTTGGGTGGTTTAATAACAACAAGCAATGTTGCCAGAACTCGAGCAAAAACTGGTGAGCGAGTGAGGCGTAGTTGTGCTCACAAGTACTATATTAAGCTGGGTATGGAAAAAATACGAGTTTGTAGGAGTGCATTCGTAGCAATACACGGGATATCCAAAAAACGAGTGGATAATATTGCTAAAACTTTGCGCAGTAACAACATTACACCCCCGAACAGCAAACAAGGTAAACATAAA